CCCCCCCCCCGCCCCCGCCTCTTCCCCCATTCTTTTGCAATATTGGAATATTATTATTGGTAATTTGTTTGCCATCAAATATATTTTACTATCAAATTATTGTTCTCCCCGAGGATTTCATCGCGTAATACTGTGATTTGAGTATTCATAAATCTACAGGCTTACAAAATTAAATATATGAAGTGTATTAAAAATTGAAATGTACGTGCATAATAAATTGCAAATCTAAAAGATAATAAAAATACACACAATATACAATTATTATATTTAATATATAAATTGAAAATTTAAAGCTACCTTATTATTAATTTAATGACAAATAACGAGAAATTATTAGGCTTGTTTAGTTGGGCCATTCTTTTGGTAAAATTATTCATGAATGTTGATAGAAATATCATTGTACATACGCACGTATGAGCCATTCATCATTAAATTTGCTTCCCAATATTACTTTCCGCTCTCGTACGTACGCGATTTGATCTATTTTTAATCGGTTACATTTCAAGGTAGAAAAATCATTTTATAATAATCAAAAATGTATTTTAAGCCTAAAGGATAATAGCAAATGGTATTATTAGCATACTTGCAGTTAAGATTTATTATTAAAATAATTACGTATACTGATAAAATAATTAGATATATTGATCGAAAACACGTTCCTGACGTTCGTTTTTTTGTTTTTTTTTGTTTTTCTTTTTGAGTTCCTACTATGCTTTCAGATTGTAAAAAAATATTGGCCAAATTTGAATAATAATTTTGCTTTTATGTTTGCACCGTAGACCATGACTATTATGATTTGTCTATATAAATAATATGTTCTGCTTGTTTCGTGAAACATGAGAATATAATAATATTACTACGTACACCTGCATTATAACATATATTTTTAAATGTTTATTTGAATGTAACAGTACAAACATTATTGATTTTACATAGAATTCGAGTTGCATTACATCTGCATTATAATTTAATTAAATATAAATATCCATGAAAATTGTAACTATCAGATTTGAGAAAAAGCAATATTGGCTTTATAAAATGCTGTAAATTTGAATCATCTATAACATTTTATGTTTAAACGTATATTTATTTATATTATGATGATTATGATGATTATGATGTAATTTCAATAAAGGTCGAGAAAATTGAATCAAAGAGGCAGCAAATGACATAACAAAATTTTATTCGTACAAATATTACCTTCGCAAACATCAGATGTAAATTAAATTAATATTTTATTTTATTTTATTTATTTATTTATTTATTTATTTATTTATTTATTTATTCATTTATTTATTTTATTTTTTTTTTCATACGACAATGATGCATTTATCGGTTTTAGTTGAATTGCCAAATGAGACAGCATAGGTATAATACTGAAATTCAAATATCTACGAGAATATATTCGATACTTTTATTTTATATTGACGAGACTTTGTTTCCATATCCCGATAAGGCAACAGCCTAGCTATTAGATTTCTACAATTTACAAGTCTTATACACGCCGCGATAAACATTAATCCAATAAGATTTATCAATTGCTGGCAGCATTATATTAAAACCTTTCGCGCGAGCTTGGCAATTTTCAATTGTACACGCGGATTCATAAACGAGAGAATAATATTATTTGTTGCTGGCTTTGGTAAAGCGATTTGTCGAAGCTTATCGGAAATTCAGAATAAGTCTCGATAAACATTTCGCTCGAAATAACAGTATGCCAAAGTGCTCCTCTTGTGCTTATTAAGCACGTGCCTCGGCTGCAAAATCGATGGGGGTTGGTTATGCGTCAGGGCATCGGTGAAATATTCAAGTCCGCGCAATGCCCCCCGAGGAGATGAAAAATTGACGCGGATAGAGCTTACGAGGAACTCACCTGGAATTCTCAATCCTGAAGCTGAGGGACTGGCAGCTGTTCGGTCGCTGCCTCTTGCCGATCCTCAGGCTTCCGGGTCTCTCGAGCTCCGACCGGCAGCCGTCGCAGGCGCAACGATCCTCGTCGGCGGTGCTCGGCTCGGCCGCGTCCGTCAGGCTCTGTAGCTCCTCGGGCGTGACGAGGGTAAAGCGCCGACGGTTGTTTTTGAGGATGGACTTGAGGCAGAAGTAAGTGCTCCTGGAATTGGGAAGGCGCTTGACCGCCTCCGCGATCGGATTCACCGTTACCCGGCTGCTCGAGCCCTGCTGCTTGTCCGGCTCCGTCGGCCCTCGCTTGGGGATCGCCCCCGTGCTCCTTCCCTGCTGCCGATTATCGTTCTCGACCTCGACTCTGCTTGGGATCGATCGGGCGCTCAACGGGTTCTCTGCGAGATTACCAACATATTAATGGACGTGGCTAGATACGGCGAATTACGAAGTGTTCGTGAAAGAAATTCGTGAAGCTCTTATTATTCTGTTGGTGGCCCATGATTTTTTCTACCATTTTCTCCCTCGAATAATGCATTACCGCGTTATTAAAGGGGGATAAGATTATTCGAAGATTCAGCGAGATTTTCGAATTTTGATAGTGAGGTACAATGCTCGTGGTCGATATAGGATGGCGATGCTCATGCTAAGCAGTAAATTAAAAATCCATTAGTGCTCTAGATATGTTTTTAATATAGCCTCAAGTATAATATAATGAAACGTGCCGTATTATCTAAGATAATTCTCTTAGTAGATAATAATTCTGTGCATTAGAGATTTTCTTATTATTTTCAATTTTTGTCAATAAGAATTTATATCTCTCAATATGAAAATTACGTATTTCGCTGCTTCGTTATTTTGAATTATTATTCTGCCACTCTGCAGATCAATATGTACACAAACACAAACACAAACACACACACACACACACACACAAACACGCGCGATTTCTAAATATAATTAAATAATTTTTTTATGAAACACGCTTTTTAAAATATCTATACATTTATTCTTTCGTTGCATTTATCGCGTATGAAATTCAATGTATATTTATGAATTACATTCAATTTTCGAATTTAAATTAATATTATCGCGTGCATTATTATATTATCATATTGTCTGCAATTATTTCGTCAATATTATTCTTTAAAAAAAAAAAAAAAAAAAAAAAAAAACACGAATTCATTATTATTTTTATTACCATTTGTTGAGAAAATATTTGCAGGTAAGCAATTTCACATCATTCGTAAGGATTTTTTACTATCGAATAATTTCGTCAAAGTAAATATCTTCAATATTCGACTGCGAAAAGTGTATATATTTTCGTTTGCAAACTAAAGTGCAAAATACAATCTCTACTGAGCGACGATCGTCAATAATCCACCTCAACGTGGCAAAGATGTCGTGCTTTTACAATCGATTTACCCTTAGAGTCTTATTTTTTCCGTCTCCGTCGGCCTTTAGAAAATAGGTATTATATTTTTGTCTTATTGTATCGTGATTTGTCAAGCCTCTCTTTGTATTTTATATTATCTTTTTTTTTTATTATCTACACGCGATTGGCATACTTTCAACCGTCGAATTTTCAAAATGCATATTCTAACGAAGCGTTTCATCATTACACAAGTACCAAATTTTATTGCATTTCCTTTTCAATTTATGCATTATCAATTTTAAAACTAACAGTTCATAGGTGAAAAATAAAAGAAGCATATTATTTTAGTCATTTCATTTCAGGTAAATAATATTTTGTTAGCCTTGAAAGTTTCAAATTAAGAATTCCAATTTGAAATATAAGAAATGACTATCGAAGTGTTTCTGTGTACAGAAAATGCTATTGCAACAGTAATATTACTTTATATTTCTTCTAGAAGAACATCGACTTTCAGTAAAAGTTGAAAATCCTATATCTTTAGAAGAAGTTCCGAGTATGTATTAGATTACAGTGACATTCATGAATACATATTTAAAATTTCTTTTAAATTTTCAAGATTTTCATGAATTTCTGAATAATAATATAGTATTAATTAAAACGTAGAATGAAAAATTTAATATTTCATATTTATATTTATGAATTATGTTTTTTTTTTTTTTGGAATATCTCAAATCTAAAATGTTTTGTTAAGTAATTTTATATTTCAAATATATTTTAAGCTTATATTTCAAATATATTTGCATAAAATGTATTATCTATCGATTAAATTGTTTGCAGCAGATTTCATTAAACTTAAGTCATATTACAATCGATTTTTGCATTAAGTAATTTGTGTATAATGGATAATTTATAATAAGTAAATTACTTTTACAGCCATAGGAAATATTGTTTAAGAATATATTAATTTGCTTAAATTAGTTTACCTCGATATGAGATAAATTCTCTTGACTTTAATCTTTTATATTATGATGCAACTTTGAAATAAAATATGTATGTATGTAAAATTGTTGCGTATAATATTAAGAAATTTAATAATTAAACAAATAAATTTTTGTTTCTGTTATAAATATATTTAATATTTAATTTAATTTCATTAATTTCTTTTACGAAGTAATAAAAACGTTTTTTTTTCTTCTTTTTTCTTTTTTTTTTTTTTTTTGTTAACAAATTACAGTTTTACTATCATACTCCATAAACAAATTGTTAATGATAAAAAGCGAAATACTCTTACGCCTTTAGTTAAATGAGCGCGAAAAAGTTATTGGATGCGTAATAAAAGGTAACGATGATTTTTCAAATCGTATCGGCACTTATTGGTTCTAACGATCAAATTTTATTACAGGATCTTCGATTATCGCTATAGGAGCTATCATGCGTTTTATGGGATATAAAAGAGCGTATGTTTTTTTTTTTTTTTTTTTTTTTTGCAAATAGGCGAGTGAGTTTACAGTTTTGGATGCGCTGGAAAAGCTGCAATAAATATTGAGATTTTATGGAGTGAAATTAGGGAAGGGGGGGGGGTAATTTTCGTTAGTACGTGCAAGCAATTTCGATTAAAAGTCCACTCGATAATAAAAAGGACATTGGAAGTTGATTTTTTAAAATTCTTCCCCATCAAACTTGGAAGAATAGAATAATTATCTCATTTACTTGCAAATAAATCATAGAAAGGCTTGGACGTCCGTAATCAATAAATACGGTCGTCCTCCCCACTATAATTATCATTGAAGCGAGCCGTCCGAGAAATAGCGATGAGCCAAGGACACCCCAGTAAAATCGAATCTCACCAGTCTCCTCGTTCTCGACGATGCTCTCCAAGCTACGTCCGTTGCCTCGGGTGAAACTCCAGCTGGCCAACATTTCGGCACTATGCCTTAGGTCGGGCTCGGAGTAGTCGCGGGTGATCGCGCAACGTCGCCTTCGGTGCTGCAAATCGGTCGTCGCCTCCTGGGGGCCACGGCGCTCCGCATCGTTCAGGCAGCTCTCGCAAATGCGCGCGCAGCCTCTGCTCGGCGCCGTCGGCCGGTGCTGGGAGATCTGCCGGTGAATTCGCATTATGGCGAGCAGTCCTTGATTTTGCACCGGATTAGGGAAGGGACGGGGGACTACGGCGACTTGTTCGCAAATTCGACGGACACTCGCCGCGGGCTTGATGCTGGGAAGTTTTAAGTTTTAATTTTGAAGTTCGACAGCGGTAGGGAGCGAGCGCGAGCGAGCGTGAAAATCGAGTTTCCTTTTGTAATTTGAATTCTCGTTGCGCATTCCAGCGGGCACGATTGAATTATTTTAACGCTTGTAATCTCTGGCCGGAATTGGCGCATTAATGCTCCAATTAGTAATCCAAGCTTATAATCAGTGAACAAGATTGTTCTCATTCCTTGGGATGGTTATATCAAAAGCCGTTAATTTTATTATACATAAGGTATAATGTGAGTGTGTATGATTTTATGATAATCAGTGGTGATGTGCATCCATTAAGCTTCTTTGCAATCGTGTGCCAATCATTTTGACATTTATCTCTCATTGAATATTCAATGTCGATAATTGAAATGAGTGTTTGCTTTTTCCTTTATACATACAATATCAAAGCCACCACAACAATCCAAACGTAGTTTCGAAATATCTTTTATATCTTTTATTAATTAATTCGTTATTATGAACTACTTTATATAGCTTTTATATTTAGAGGTATTCTGCGAATGCAATAAAATCGCATAAAAAATTTTCCAATTTGAATTGCTCCGTACACTTTATTTATTGTTGTTATTATAGAATGCTTCTTCTGCGCGTGACAGTATGCGATTGTCGTAAAGACACTTAATATATAAAAAAAAGTGATAAAGTAAAATTCATCGTAATAGTTGCCGGAATTATTATGTATAATTGGCAATGTATTTTGAAAGAAGGACAGTGCAATGCATTATTGCGCCATATATTCAATGAAAATTTAAATATCTCTCGATGGAAATTAAAGTACAGCAACGCAAATTAATGAAAAAATACAATCATAATAACTTTATAAAAAAAATTAGATTGATTGAATCCTTTAAAAGTTGCGATTAAACATAGATAGTGAAAATTTTTAAAATAGTGAGTAAATTATGGAAAGTGATTTAATGGCGGTGAAAGAAGTTAGTAATTTGATTTGTCCAGTCTGATTAAAGTTCTTTGGTATTTAAAAGCTCCTTCTTTTATTATTCTATTGAAGGAAATTCTCCGAAACGAGTTGGCAAATAGACTCTAAACATCAGCATAATTTGGAATATCCGAGTCTTCTTCAACGATAAAACTTTAAGAGGATCCTTCCGAGTCACAGACACACATCCCTTCCACCTTGTCTCTCTCACTCGCGCTCTCTCTCTCTCTCTCTCTCTCTCTCTATCTCTCTCTATCTCTCAAGTGCTATTGAGAGTTTGTAGTCGGAAAGAATCGAGTTCGTGATGCTCGGTGGATTCTTTCCAGCCCAATAAATTCCCACGAACGAAAGCCGCGTAACGAAGTGGAAGTCCGTAAGCCCGTTAATGTGTCTTCGGGAGTGGGCCTTACCGTGAGCCTCGGCCTCCGTGAGACCGCAGCGGCACTGGAAGCGCCCGCGACCTCATTCCCTTCCATCTCCTGCATCGCCGCCATCTCTACCTCCACCTCCTGCTCCTGCTCCTCCCCCTTATCCAGGGGACTCGGCCTCCAGGCGTCGTTCATTTGCAGGCTCTCGAGGGAGAGCAAGTCCTCGGGGCCCGTTCTCGCGTTCTCGGCCAGTCCATGACAGGGGCAGTCGCAAGCGATCGAGGATGGTTCCGAGAGCCTTTGCTGCTCGGCGAACGCCGGCTGGTGCTCAGCCGCGGCCCGCTCGTAAAGCAACGCCTCGGAGTAGCTCGGCACCATGTCCGACTCCCCCGGCTCGCTCGAGGTAGTCGCGCGGCTGCTGCCCGGGTGGACCGCGGGCTCCATGAGCAAGGCCTCGCTGTAGCTCGGGGCAAGCATGTAAGATCCCGGGGCGCTTAGTTGACTCGCCGACGTGTGTATTTGGATGTTGGTCGGCGTGTCGTAGTTCACGCCGAAAAGCTTCGTTACCTGCGGTCGTGGAGGGGGCCTTGCTTTTCAAACGTTAGGCTACACATTTGTGATCTTTGGCTCAAGCGGGACTTAGCGGGAGCGAATTATAGTTATGCGCATTACATTTGCGTTTTTCTTTCTAAACTTTTCGTCTAAACTTTTTACGATCGATTTGGAAAACTGCTCGAGCGTCTGCGATAATTTAACAGCTCATCTAATTTATCTAACGCGATGGTAATTAAACTATTAATGTAATCGGGTGTTGTGTATTTTTTTGCAAGTATATGTGCCGCGAAGCTTGCTGCTCTATTGTTTGAAAAGTTAAGCATCAGCTAGCCGCGACGAAGCGAGCTATTTACTTTAGTTAATAGTTATGCTTTTAGATAGCTGTATGTTAATCAACGCGCATAAAAATTTTAAAATGATGGTATTATACAACTATTAAAAGCTAGTTAAGTGATGAATTCAAGTTGTATAAAGTGACTATCGTTGTGGAAAGTGGATCCACAAGTTACAAACAACTACAATATACGATTGTGTGTACTTTTAATTTTAGTGTATTTGCAAAGCAAATAAATTATACGTCAGAAGATGGCTTCCTCGCGCAATATTTGGATAATATGTTAACAATATGTTAATTTATGATAATTTTCATACGATTATGCAAACAAGACCTTTTGCCCAATTAAAAACTATTATATGCTAAAATAAACGGAATACATTCGGAAAATTGTTATTTTAGCGCTACCGCGCACTTTTTCAGTTTTAAACTTAATTGTTATATGTTTATATATGTCATATGTTTACAAACCGTTGAGATACACATAAATAAACTCCCAATAATATACTCGATATTGTTTCTTAACAATCATAATAATAATAGCATTTTTACAGTGTTCTGTATACAATGAGCTGCAATTCTGAAAGCACTTATTTTCGAAAGCTTAAAGTTTGTGCTTTTAATAATTAGTAAACTAAGTGTATCCAATAGAAAATAAGAAAAATCCGAGCGTTAAAGTTATTGTTGTCATTATCCAAGAATTATTGTTCGGCAAAATAACGAAGATAGTCTCTGCACTGTACCTGATAGTCGACATATTGCGTATTACATTCGATGATAATTCTGAGTGGCCAACTAAGCAAGAGCGCACTAAGGCACCAGTAGACATAAGACCTAGTGAACCATGGATTTCCTAGGACCGCCACAAGGGTCATCGGACTGAAATTGCAGCCTAAATCCAAGCCCTCCCTCATTTCCATGTAATCGTCTCTAAATTCCTGCGTGTATTAATTTTATAATTAACGAGAATTTTTACCATATTTCAATGATTGATCATCATTGGCTGAAAAAGGCGGTTTAAACGAGATATTTTCATCGTTCGATATTATGTTTATAATGAATAATACAAATCATTATAAATGAATTTAAAATAAATTTCTTAAATACTTATTAATCAAATTATCGCATATTAAATAGCATTAGTATTTTCATTGATTAACATGTGTCACATGTTGTGTAATACGTTGCTTAATTAAATGAAACAATGTATTTTAATAAATAAAGCTTTAAATGATGTAGTTAGGTAGGTACTAAGGTGACATTAAAAACCTGTTCAGCGAAGAATCGCGATCTGGCCTCCTCGAATTCCGTGGCCGATCTAACGTTCGAAAAGGCAAAACCCTTGGATAATGTGATCTTGGTTATCGGTATTTTTGGATCTAGTATGAGTTCCTTGCTGATGTCCTTGGAGCCGCAGTAGTCATAGAAGTAGAAAGACGTCGCTGCGTGAGAGTTGACTCTTTCGTAATATACCTGTGTGGGTACCGAATAAAAAATATTTAAATTTTACTATTAAAATTAATGTAATTTTTTAACGATGTAACTGTAATTTTTAAATCACAAATTTACCATTAACATTAATTGCACGCTTAATTTCACCGAATAATTTATACTTATTTAAGATTTAAGTTAATTTGTTGGCATTTTCAATATATAAATAAATAAAAAATTTTGCAAACAAGCAGAAATTAGTATTGAATCTTTTAGCAATTGTTTAGCAAACATTAATATCTGCGTGTGAATTACATTATAAAAATAATCTTGATGTTGGTTCGAGTGTGAATAAATGTTATTGATCGATTAATAAATATGATTTCTCGAAATAAATTTCAACTTTATTGGATCAGAGTGTTGAAGTATTATGAAATAAAGATGTCACTACAGATCAGTTTGGAGATAACACAAATTTGTTTATGAAAGTGCAGAAAATACATTTGATAAAAAGGTTATGGTGACGCGTATTTGTGATGCGGTAGGGGGAGGGGTGGGGAGGGATGGGGAGGGGGGGGGAGAGGTAATATCGAGGCTTCTCGAAATTAAAATAATATGTTTTGCTGGAGGATAAGTGACGAGAAAATTCACGAAAACTCTAAGAGGCAGTAAAAATAATACGCGAGTATCGAGTATCGAGTATCCCTTGTATACAATTGATTACTATTCATATTCTTGATAAACTCGTCTACGTACATTAATAAAACAGCAGTTATTTCAAAAAGTTTAATTTTGCCAATCTTTTTATGATAATTTTTAAAATGTACTTTGATTCTTTATAAGATAAAGAAGAATACATTTGTGTATGTATCAGTTTTGGCCTCAGCCCGTTAGTTATAAAATCCCGTACGAAGAGCTGATACTGGCACACTTGTATTCCCTCACTATAAGAAATATTAACGAAGTTAATATTTGAATTATGTAGAAGAAAGATAAAGATATGCTGAAAATCTGAAGCATGTCTTATTTTATTTTGTAAGTAGAATAAATTTTTCAGTCAATAATGAACTTTTGATATTTTTCAGGAGCAAAGTACTTGGGAATCTTCTTTTATTACTTTTTAACGAGATAAATGTAAAGTCGTAGTTCTGATTATACAGCAGTTTTAATATTTAATAATTTTTTGTTGTTGTTGGAAAAGAGATAGCAAATTAGGCCTTAGCATAACCGGCCGATCAATATTGACGATAAATACAATCGAAGGCTTTAGCTGTATTTATAAATTCCATGTTCTGCATAAAAATTCTTTCAACCCATGAGCGCAAGCCCTAAGCAAAGAAACAATACGATTCCCGATAGCTTGTAAAGCTGCCTTACGACCAACGTCTCATCGAAAGTCGCTGATGCGATAAAAGTATGCACTCGAAACGAGTTCGCCCTAAAAGTGGATCCTTGGCTCTTCGGAATCGATCGATTCGTGCGCGCGCCCAACCAAACCCATATACGCACACATACGCACGCACGTACGAGAAAATATAGCCAAGCGAAGAGAGAGAGAGAGAGAGAGAGAGAGAGAGAGAGAGAGAGAGAGAGAAAATACGCGTGTGCGCGCGCGCGCGCATATCAA